CAAAAGCAATGGCAATGAAAGCCAAAATAGACAAATAGGATCTAATTAAACTTAAGAGCTTCTGCACAACAAAAGAACCAACCATTAGAGTGAACCGGCAACCAACAAAATGGGAAAACATTTTTTGCAATCTATCCATCTGACAAAGGGCTAATATCCAGAATCTATAAAGAACTAAAGCAGATTTACAAGAAAAAAACAAACCCATTCAAAACTGGGGGAAGGATATGAACAGACATTTTTCAAAAGAAGACATTTATGAAACCAATGAACATATGAAAAAATGCTCATCATAAGTGGTCATTAGAGAAATGCAAATCAAAACCACATTGAGATACCATCTCACGCCAGTTAGAATGGCGATCATTAAAAAATCTGGAGACAACAGATGCTGGAGAGGATGTGGAGAAATAGAAACACTTTTACACTATTAGTGGGAGTATAAATTAGTTCAACCACTGTGGAATACAGTGTGGCAATTCCTCAAGGACCTAGAAATAGAGATTCCATTTGACCCAGCAATTACATTACTGGGTATATACCCAAAGGACTATAAGTCGTTCTATTATAAAGACACGTGCACACACATGTTCATTGCAGCAGTGTTTACAATAGCAAAGACCTGGAACCAACCCAAATGCCCATCAATGATAGACTGGACAAGGAAAATGTGGCACATATACACCATGGAATATTATGCAGCCATAAAAAATAATGAGTTTGTGTCCTTTGTAGGGACATGGATGAATCTGGAAACCATAATTCTCAGCAAACTGACACAAGAACAGAAAACCAAATACCCCATGTTCTCACTCATAGGCGGGAGCTGAACAATGAGAACACATGGACACAGGGAGGGAAACATCACACACAGGGGTATGTTGGGGGGCAGGGGCCGGGGAGGGACAGTGGGGGGTGGGGAAGTTGGGGAGGGATAACACTGGGAGAAATGGCTGATGTAGGTGACAGGGGGATGGAGACAGCAAACCACCATGGCATGTGTGTACCTATGCAACAATCCTGCAAGATCTGCACCTGTACCCCAAAAATTAAAGTACAATTTTAAAAAGACAGTGAAAAATTTAAAAAAACCATGTGAAGCCCTATGTTTCTCTATTGTTTATTTCTATTTCTCTATTTTAAAAACAATGAGTTACACCAGTGTCTTTAGTTATGATGCAACACTAAGGAGTTCCTTCTGTATCTCGCTCTTTCAGTTGTAATTCACTTCCCTGACAATAAGAAACTTGGCTCCCATTATCTTCAGTACATTTACTTATTTGCTCAGATTCCCTGTATGAAACCAATCCATTGCACCACAGTCCTGCTGACTACCTTTCTTGCACAGGTTGATTTCCCACTAAGCCCTAGCTGTCCAGCCAGGCTCTGAACCTCCACTGGACCCCTGCTGCCCCTTCTTAGCCACTTTTCTCATGAAGGCTGTAATGCTTGGCCACTTTCCTCACTTAGGCTTAAGAAGGAAGCTATCCTTGTGTGTGTGTGTGTGTGTGTATTTTTTTTTGGTTGAAATGTAACTTACAGTAAAAACACAAATCTTAAATGTTTAACTCGTTGACCTTTTGTATTTGTATACACCCATGTAATCATCCAAATTAGGCACTTCAGTAAGCCTCCCAGATATACCCATCCCAAAATTACCACTATTCTAAACTTTCACCACAGATTAATTTTGCTTAACTTTTTCTTTTGAAATGATTTCAAACTCATGGGAGAGTTGCAATAGAAAGGATTCCCCAAATCCCTTCACACAGACACAGAATGTATTAACATTTTGCCACATGTGTCTTCTTTCTCTTTTTAAAAAATTTAACATTGATAGAATACTCTGATCTAATCTACAGAGTGTAGTATATTTTTCCACTTGTCTGAATGATATCTTTTGTGGTAATTTTTCACTTTGATCTAGGATCCAGTTCAGGATCATACATTGCATTTAGTTGTCATGTCCCTTTGACTCCTTTATTCTAGAATAGCTTTTCTTTATCTCTTATGACATTGACTTTTTTAAGAGTACAGGAAAGTTGTTTTGTATGATGTCCCTCAATTGGTTTTATCTGATTTTTCCTAGTGATTAGATTTCATGTAGGCACTTTTGGCAGGATTACTAAATAAGTGATGTTGTGTCTGTCTTTAATGCATCATATGAGGAGGCACCTGATGTCAGTTTCGCGCATTATTAGTCGTGCATCACTGCATCACTTGTGTAAGGTGGTGCTTGCCTTCTTTCTCTGCTATGAGGCTACCATTTATCCTTTGTAATTGAGAAGTAGTCTGTGAAGAGATACTTTGAGACTATGTAAATATCCTTTTCCTCTTCATACTTGCCCAGTAGTTTTAATGGGCATTGATGATTCTTGTCTGAATTAATGATTGCAAAATTATTTTTAGCCCAATTATTCTTTTTACATTTATTATTTTTGGTATCCTACCATAAGAAAGAGCTTTCCCTGCTTCCCTATTTATTACTCAGTATATACTCATGGATTTTTATTTTATTCAATGGGTTATAATCTGTCGTTATTCATTTTGGAGCTCAAGTTCTCCCTGATGTAGCTAGCAGGAACTGTTTCAAGCTGGCTAGTTTCCTTTTGACATGTCTCCATTATTCTTTTATCACTTCCTTACTTCCTGGTACAAATACATGTTCCAGACTCAAATTGTTCTTTCCTCATCCCAATCCTAGAATCAGCCTTTTCTCCAAGGAGCTCTGATCCCTCTCAGTTGAATAGTATTTCAAAGCCAAGGTCTGTACAGCAAGTGAACTTATTGCTACTGGAGTGTCAGTGCTGCTAGGCAATTTCATGTTGGTTTAACTCAACGTGTGTGTGTGTGTGTGTGTGTGTAAAATTGTGAGTTTGTGAATTTATACCGATACCTCTAATTCTAATCTGATATCCACAGGGTTTCTCTCTGCCTTCTCTCATTCTATATTTGTATTTCCTTCAACTATAGTGAGCATTCTGGCTCCCAGCAACATTAATATATTTCCTTATTTGCGTGGTCCCACGATATATACAAAATACTTTCAGAATTGATACACGCATGCAGTCTACTTTTGAGTTTCATGTAAATAGAGCCATATAATATTTACTTTTCTATGCCTCTCTTCATTTGTTCAATATTATTCTTAAAGATTTATTTATGTGGCGAATATCCATTTTTTCCCTATTGCTGTAAAGTAGCAGTCCCCAACTTTTTTTTTTGTTTGAGGTGGAGTCTAGCTGTCACCCAGGCTGGAGTGCAGTGGCACAATCTCAGCTCACTGCAACCTCCACCTCCCAGGTTCAAGCAATTCTCCTGCCTCAGCCTCTGGAGTATATGGGATTACAGGCACCTGCCAAGGTGCTCAGCTAATTTTTGTATTGTTAGTAAAGATGGGGTTTCACCATATTGGCCAGGCTGGTCTTGAACCCCTGATCTAGTGATCCACCCGCCTTGACCTACCAAAGTGCTAGGATTACCGGCATGAGCCACTGCGCCTGGGCTATTCTCCAACCTTTTTGCCACCAGGAGCTGGTTTCACAGAAAACAATTTTTTCATGGATGGGGAGGGCCGGTGGAGATGGGATGGTTTCAGGATGAAACTGTTTCACCTCAGATCATCAGGCATTAGAGTCTCATAAGGATCGTGCAGCCTAGATCCTTCCCACGCACAGTTCACAATAGGGTTTGTGTTCATATGAGAATCTAATGCCACCACTGATCTGACAGGAGGCGGAGCTCAGATGGTAATGTGAGCAATGGGAAGCAGCTGTAAATACAGATGAAACTTTGCTGGTTTGTCTGCTGCTCACTTCCTGCTGGGTGGCCTGGTTCCTAAGGGCCATGGACTATTACCAGTCTGCAGCCTGGAGGTTGGGGACCTCTGCTGTAAAGTATTCTGAATGAACTATACTCTCTTATCTATTATACTGCTGATGAATATTTGTGTTCTTATTTTCATTTTGAATAAAACTGCTGTGAACATTCTTTTGGTAGAAGTAAGCAATATTTATTTTAGGTACTTGGGTCTCCATATATATGTTTAGCTTTAGTAGATACTGCCAGACAGTTTTTCCATGCAGTTGTTGAATTTACACTCTGTCAGCAATGTAAGAGAGTTCCAGTTATTTTACATCCTCATTAGTATTTGGTGTTGGCAGTCTTTTTAATTTTAACCTATCATGGCTACTAGGGAAAGCGTTAAAGTTTTTTGAGAAGTGTGCCATAGGATGTTTGCCTGGTCTGAATCCATTAATTGCCTTTTAGTTTGATTGTCCAACTCCCATGGTTTCATTTTGTTCTCAGTACTAGTACTGAGTAATTTAAGTAACTTAGTGGCATGCCTTTACTGAAATCCACATGTATTTTTGTATGAGGCTTTTTTAGTCAGGAAGGACCAGAGATATTTGCAGATTACTGTTGTGAGGACTGTATTGTACTTTAGCTTAAGTAAGGAAAACAGGTGAAGCAAATGCCTTTTAAGAGAACATCATTCTCAGCAAACTGACATAAGAACAGAAAATCAAATACCGCATGTTCTCACTCATAGGCGGATGATGAACAATGAGAACACATGGACACAGGGAGGGGAGCACTACACACTGGGGTCTATTGGGGGGAATAGGGGAGGGACAGCGGGGAGGGAAGTTGGGGAGAGATAGCATGGGGAGAAATGCCAGATATAGGCGAAGGGGAGGAAGGCAGCAAATCACACTGCCACATGTGTACCTATGCAACTATCTTGCATGTTCTTCACATGTACCCCAAAACCTAAAATGCAATTAAAAAAAAAAAGAGAACAATGGGAAAGTCATTTAGAACCCAAGGCAGCTCAAAAGGCTAAACCTTCTTGAGCCCTCAGCAGTAGGATCTGTTGCTTCTTCCTTTAGAACTCTCACATCCTGGTGACTTAGCTTCACTTTACTGTTCCTGCTGCTCTGACTCCTCTGCTTATACCTCCTCCTCATATTAACTTTCCTTGTGTCTATTTCTTCCAGCTACTGCCCCAGCTACCAACTAGAGGAGTCACTCCCGACAACTATTTCAAGGTAGAATTTTCACTAAGCCATTTCACAGGCTGTGGTCAATCTATGCATTAATCCACATTGAGACAAGTGTCCATCCATAGTCCAATTAGGTATGGCCCCAGTAAGCAGAACCATGTGGTATCAACATGGCTATTTATGACAAAGACATTCCCTTAGAAGGGCACTATGGGAAAAGCAAGCCGTCTGAGTGCCTGGCTAGTTTAATTGTATATATTATAGTCTAATTACTGCGTATATTATGTTCTAATTCAGTAGACATTTCTCAAGCCCTCTCCTTATCTGTCAGTAAACTCTTGGAAAAGAAAATGAACTGTTTATACTGAATAACTTTTTTTGTTGTTTTTAAACAGAGTCTTGCTCTGTCACCCAGGCTGTAGTGCAGTGGTATGATCTCAGCTCACTGCAACCTCCACCTCCCAGGTCAAATGATCTTCCCACCTCAGTCTCCCAACTAGCTTGGCCTACAGGTACACTCCGCCGTGCCCGCCTAATTTTTTTGTAGAGACAGTTTCACCATGCTGCCCAGGCTGGTCTTGAGCTCTTAAGCTCAAGCTATACACTTGCCTCTGCCTCCCCAAGTGTTGGGATTACAGGTGTGAGCCACTGTACCCAGCCTGAAGAACTCTTCATGGTGAACCTATCCCTGTGGACTGGTTGCTAACAGGCCATGGACTATTACCAGTCTGCAGGGTGGGGGTTGAGGACCCCTGCTATAATGTATTCTGAATGAATTATACTGTATCCATTATTCTGATGATGAATATTTGTGTTATTTCATATTTTTTATGAATAAAACTGCTATGAACATTCTTGTACATGCCTTTTTGTAGGAGTGGCATATATGAATTCTATAATGCCACATTATACCACATTATTGCCACTTTCCTAATGCTTATAGTCTCCTTTTATATGTTCTCAAATAATATATAAGTCCTAAAATATATCTGTGGAACAGGGTCAAGCCCAAAGTGAATTTTATTCTGTAGACAGCAGAGGTTCGGATGTGTGAGGTATACTTGGTTGTTTTAATTCTATTTTACAGATGAGGGAACTGAGGGCCAGAGAGGCAATGAGATTTGCCCAAAGTCACATGGCTAGGAAATGGGGGACAGAGGCGGGGGGGGCGTCAGGATTTAAATCCAGGTTTTCTGGTTCCATATCCAGAACTCTGTCCATTACCCCACACTGACATGCCCCATACTCATGTCCAGACTATTAAAAGCACAAAGGAAATTTGATAATAGCAAACTATAGCCAAGCCAAGTGGTGAGAATTGAGAGGTGGCAGATCTCCTAAAGGCTGAGGTGACCTGGGGGACTGCCTCAAGATTTTGAACTAGCCCATGTAGAGTTGGTTGGATTTAGAATGGTATAGAGAAGGGAGAATGGTGCAAATGAAGATACAAAAGTGGGGAAACAAGAGATTTTCCAGAGACAGAAAAGAGACTCGTGTTTCTGGGTTAGAGGGTTATGTAGGAAAGGAGTGGTAAAATGTGTGGTAAAAAGTAATGAGACTTTGATAGATGTGACAACTTTAATTAAAAAAAAATCAGATCATAGCCATGCACGTACAGTGGGTCATGCCTGTTATCCCAGAGCTTTGGGAGGCCAAGGTAGGAGGATCACTGAGTCCAGGAGTTCAAGCAGTCTGGACAACATGATGAGATCCTGTCCCTACAAGAAGTAAAAGAAGAAAAAAATTGGCCAGGCTTAGTGGTGTGTACCTGTAGTCCTAGCTACTCAGGAAGCTAAGGCAGAAGGGTTGCTTGAGCCCAGGAATTCAAGGTTATAATGAGCTAGGTTTATACCCCTGCACTCTAGCCTGAGTGGTAGAGCGAGATCTGTCTCTTAAAACAAAAACAAAACCAGATCACATCATGATATTATGGTGAGCAGAAAACTTGAAGTCATTGGTTGTTAAGATTCCAGGCTGAGATGAAAAGGCCTTAACTAAGATGATAGTGGCTGGAAAGAAGTCAGATTTGAGAACCGCAGAGAAGGCAGGATTAACAGGATCTGGAGACAGTCTAAATATAAGGGGAGGAGAGAGATATGCAAAAGAGATCTGTCACTTGAGAGTTTGAGCCTTTGTGACTGGGACACTCTGGTACCAGTATCAGAAGAAGAGGAGGCAGTGTATGTAGTGGGTTAGCTTACAGGCTTTGGACCAAAGCAGACCTGGGACCAGTGACTTAACTCCTCTGAGAGGGTTTGCTGGCTGCTGTGTAGGGAGACAGATTCCCACTTCTCAGAGTGGCTGTGAGGGTGGGAGGTATTGCAGGTAAAGTGAAATTCTATAATGTGACATGCTTGGCATCCAGGCACTTAACCAAACGTTAGCTCTCCTCCTCCTCACCCCAACTTCTCTGGAAGATAGCAGAACCTAGTTCAAGCCTCATTTTTTTTCATAGGCATACATACAATATGCTCTTTTTAAAAAATAATAATAATTAAATAAAAAGGAACTGGCCTTACAGAAAGAATAGGTTCTTCCACCATGTACTCTGAAGTAGAGGACAGATGGAGCCTCTGGGTCTCCAGATCCCCTACCTTTTTTTTTTTTTTTTTTTTTGCATCCTTTAATATCTAAGCTTTAATCAAACATTCAAGGAGCCTGGCTCCTTGCTACTTGGGAGGCTGAGGCTCCAGGATCACTGGAGCCCAGGCGTTGGAGCCAGCCTGGGCAACATAGCAAGAACTCCATCTCTTTAAAAAATCATATATATATTAATATAATATATATTATATAAATAATATAAAGTATAATATATCATAATATATAGTAATATTATACACATATATTTGAAATAAAATACAAATTCAAGCCCACAGAGAGAGTTAAAGATATCTTTGTAAGGCTAGGTGCTTCTGGAAGCAAGCAACTCTACTTGTCAACCTCTCTGGTGTCACCATGGCCTCCCCCTTGGGACTATTTCTGAGCTTAAGGGTGGAACTCCGGTGGCTCACTGGATTGCAGTTTGCCTGTAAAACATGCCCAGCTTCCAAGCACTGCGTTTCTAATAGTTTGGAAATTCTGGCACTGGGCTTGCCAGATGTAAGGGAATTGGATGGCTGGTTTATTTCCAGCTTATATGAGAAAAGGAAGGGTTTATACCATTTCGAGGAAAAAAGCTTGAACCTGAAGGATCACAGAATCCTGCATCTCCCCTGCCTGTGAGACACTGGGCAAGTTACCTTGCTTCTCTGAACCCCAGCAGCTTCATTTTTAAAATGGTTGTAACAAAAGAATCTCTTAGGTTTTGTGTAAGTCTATGTGAGATAATATAGGTAAAGTAGTTAGCCAGGTGCCTGGCCTATAAGTATTCTATAGGAGCCAGTCAGCTGTTTTTACAAACAGATACAGCTGTACTGCTAAGAACAAAAGGACTCACATCCAACAGTTAGCAAACATTTTCACATTCATCTAGTTTTTGCTTATTTATTAAATTATTCATTTGTTTAACTCATTAATGCATTCAGCATGTATTTACTGAGCATATTATCAGTCAGCTCCTGCCCTGGTCCAGCTGTGTTTTCTAAGACCCACCCCCAGGAGAGTTTTAACTGGCCTTGCAAGAACTGATGAAGTCTAGTCTGGTGGGTTGGACTTGAGATCTTATTCTACTGGCAGTGGGGGTTCAAAATGTGTTTTTACAGCTCTAACTTCATAGACTGAGGTCCCTGAACAGAACAGACCTCTCTCATGTCTGGGAAGCACTACGACATAGTAGCTTTCCACAGCCACCTTTGCTTCTCACCCCTTACCCTTGGGAAGTTGTGTCCCCCTTCTCCAGAAAGTCTCAGTCAGCAAGTTGGAACCTGCTTTTTCTGCAGTGGGATGTAGTTTCCTAGAACTGACCTCTGTCATAGTCTTCTGTGCTTTGCTGTGCTGGAGTAGCCAGAACAACCCTATTCTGTTTTCAATGCTCCCAGCATCTCCATGCTATATCCTTCTAATGCTGTCTCCTTCTTGCCCACATTGTGCATGTCAGGGTCTGTCTCCAATTGGAATGGATTGTCCATACTGCTGCTCATACTTGCTTGTACTGCCACCCCCTCACCCCCATCCCTGCACTTAGATTGTGTGGCAGAACCACTACTGAGCAGGCACTCTTCTAGATGTCTGAGAGAGGATCTAAAACATGCATAGTCTGTGAACAGACATCATATGTGTGATAAGGACCATGATACATAGTGCTATGGGAATAGCCAGTCTGGGGCAGCTGACTCTGCCTAAAGAAGTCAGGGAAGGCTTTACCAGGAGGTGATGTTTGAGTCTTCTTTTTTTTTTTGAGACGGAGGCTTGCTCTGTTGCCCAGGCTGAAATGCAGTGGTGTGATTTCGGCTCACTGCAACCTCCACCTCCTGGGTTCAAGGGATTCTCCTGGCTTAGCCTCCTGGGCAGTTGGGATCACAGGCACCCGCCACCACGCCCTGCCAATTTTCTTTTTGTATTTTAAGTAGAGACAGGGTTTCACCATGTTGGCCAGGCTGGTCTTCCAACTCCTGACCTCAAGTGATCCACCTGCCTCAGCTTCCCAAAGTGCTAGGATGACAGGCATGAGCCACCACACCTGGCCAAGCAGTATTAAAACATTTACCTTGGTAGACAGCGGGAGAAAGTGTATTTCAGGCAAGAAGCATAGCATGCATAAAGAACTGAAATTCCATGATGTTCTTAGAGAAAAAGGAATGTTATGTGACTAGAACAAAAGGATTATGGTATTTGCTCATGAGTAGCAGAGGGAGGAAATAAGGCCAGAGAGGTGAACAGGGACCTACTCATGAGGGCCTCGTAGGATGTTTTAGGCTTTACCCTACCAATGCTGGGATCCTGTGAAGGTTTTATACAGGGGCATGACATGGTCAGATTTGTGCATGAGGAAGGTGGGATGCATGGTTGTAAGGGGTAGATTGTATCATTTGTCCTCTAGCAATTCTGTAAGACAGGTAGGGAAGACACTGTTATTTACTTTTTACACCTGAGAACACTGAGGTCCAAGAGGTTAAATCAAATACTTTGCCCTTTAGGTCTCAGAGCCAGAAAAGGGAAGACCTGGGACTCACCTGGCTTCCTGGCCCTGAACCTTTTTCTCCTGGGTGCATTGCCATTGTTAAGAGAGTCTTCCAGAAAGCTGCCTGCAGCTGGGCATTGGGTAGATGCTGGCAGGAACATTATGAAGCAAATGGTCATTTATAGAATTTCACTGAGGAAGTATAACACTGGGATTTTGCAGCCTTTTCGTGTTCAGTCCCTTGACCTCTTGATCTCTTGTGCGAGTGCAGAGAGAGCAAGAAGCAGTGGGGATCTTTGAGCTTCAAGCTCTACATTGGTTCGACAAAATCTATTCATCACTGTCTCACTCATTAATGTGCTATCTGATACTGACGTTTGTCAGTGACTTGTTTCTGGAAGCCCATGGTCCTCGAGGCTGGCCAGCTCTACGGTCCACAGCCCCAGGGTGAACCCCAGCAGTCAGAAGCAGGCCTTTTCTCCTTCTGCATTTTGTAAAATAAAATAATTTTAAAACAATAACAAAGGTAATATGATGTGGCAGTAAAGAACACTAGCTTGGCGATCAGGCAGACCTGGGTTTTAGTTCTGCTGCTGCCACTTGTCTAGCTGTGAAGGTTATTTAATATGTATGCGTCTCAGTCTCCTTATGTCTTAAATAAGCAAAGTGAAACTTACCTGAAAAGACTGTTGTGATGACTGAAATGTCAGAATGTTTATAAAGTACCTTGGCATGACACCTGGCATGAATGAATCGTCGATATATGCTGGCTTTAATTCCTGCAGTTACTGCTGCCATAGCCACCACTACTACTGCCACCACAGTTAAAGAGTATTTGGAAAATAGAGAATAGTAGAAAAAATATCTTACAATCTTACCACCATGATACAGCTACCCTTATAATTTAAATTTCCTTCAAATCCTTTTCCCTCACCACTTCTAAACATTCCTGATTTTATAGTATATATATTTTATACCCAAGTGGGCTTCTTTTTCTTTGTGGTGGTAACTGCATTACACTTATTTTTTCTAACTTTTAAGATATTTTTTTTATGATTATAAAAATTATGTATAAAATTCAGAGTATAGAAAAAAAAAGAAAAATCATACTCATTGTTAATATTTTGATGTTATCTCCTTCCAGTCATTCTTATTCATGCTTTATTATAGTTTGAGATCATAGTATGTATACAATATTTATGTAATTTTTTATATTATGAATATTTTCCTGTTATTATAAGCATCATTTTCCAAGGCTGCATAAGTCCATCAGATGGCTCTACCATAATTTACATAAGCATTCCCTGATTGTCAGACATCTGAGCTTTTTCTAGTTCTTCAGTCTAAATAGCTTCCTGTAGTGGACCTAGGGAACCAGCCTCATTACAGCCAGGAAGCATATAATGAACTTGTGCTGTATATATGGTCCTGAGTGAGGCATAGTGAGAGCCCTCAGGTCAATCAGACACAGAGCCAGCCTTAAAGGAGCTCAGAGACTAAACAACCTGGAAATACTTACTGGCAAATAAACACTGTCAAGGAGTCCACTTAAGTGTGGGTAACCCTTTTCCCTGTGGAAGCTGGGATCTGGGAAGCACAGCTTCTACACAGGAAAAAGCCTGGGAAGCCTTGCTGCTCCTTCTCACCTGTGAATATGCAGGTTGGCTTCTAATGCTCAAATGCCTTTTGAGCTACGCTTGTCAGGGGCCTGAGCTAAGAACCATTGAATATTAGCTAAGAACCATTGAGTATTACTTCCAAGTGGTTTTCACTAGGAAAGAGTGAAAAGTACCACCAAAGGAACTTGTGGGAGAATTAAGAGAATCAGAGTGGCTCTAGTTATAGTTTTTTATTTTATTTTTTAATTGACATAAAATTGTATATGTTTACTGTATATAACATGATGTTTGGAAAGATACATGGATTGTGGAATGGCTAAACTGGCTAATTAACATATTCCATCTCATAGTTGTCATTTTTGTGGTGAGGAAACAAAATCTCCTTTTAGCGTTTTTCAAGAATTTAATATATTGACTATATTCATATATAATAACATGGAGGAACCTGGGAGATATTATGTTAAGTAAAATAAGTCAGGCATAGAAAGACAAATAACACATGATCTCGTTCAATAAGGAATCACTCATGTGGATTTAAAAAGTTGATTTCATCGAAGTAGAGGATAGAATCGTGGCTCTAGTCTTAGTTTTGTCACAGACCTGCCCTGGGACCTGAGGTAAGTTACTTCTCCCTTCCAGGCTTCTGTCTTCTCCTCATAATGTAGGTGATCTCCAGGGCCCTTCCAGCATTAATATTCCAGAGTACTTGAAACGTACCTCTTGTCAGGAGCTAAAGTACATATCCTGATAAAGGTCATAGGATAATTCTCTAAAGTCCAGAGCTGCTCTTAATTAGTCCTGGGGAACCATTTATGCTTTTGTATTCCCAGTCCTTCCTTCTTCTAGCAGTTGGGACATGGAGACTGAAGGGCAAGAAATATCTCTCACTGGTTGGAAACCCTGGATTTAGAACGTAAAAAATTATCTTTTATGCATTAGGTTTTTTTTTATGTACTTTGTTCTTTCATTCATTCCCTCTTTTAGCAGATGTTAACTGAGTCCCAGGCCTATTCCAATCCATCTGTGCAATACAGAGGTGAAAGGAGACTCAACCAAGTTCTCAAAATAGATGTAGTCTCCTAAAGAGACAGGAAACAACGATAAGAGGCAACAAGATGGTTGCTACGGTGGGGGGTACATTTAAGGGCATAGGATGGGTGCACCTCAGCCTGCCTAGAAGCAACAGCAAAGGAGTCTTAGTAGATACTTTGAGATTTTAAAGGATAAGTAGAAATTTTTTAGGCACATAGTAGAAGAGAGGACATTTTGGGTGGAGGAAGAAACATGTGCAAAGGGCTAGAGGTGTGAGAGAACATGACATGTTAAAAGAACTGCAGATAGTTTGTGTGGCTGGTAGGTGAAAGGGAGAGTGGAGAGATGAGAAAAAGTCAAACATTTCTCAATGGACCAGTCTGTTTCCACTGAATTCTTTGCTCATTTTATCAGTCCATATGAGAGTAATGGTCTTTTTAGTTCAGTTTTCAAAAACTGTTATCTTTATTGCCTTATCTTTCCATTTTTACAGTAACATATGCTCATTATAGAAAGTTTGAAAAATACAAAAAGTAAAAGGAAGAAAGGATTTAAAAAATTACTCACAGTCTCACTAGCTAAAGACAACTTTAATACCTGATGAATTTCCATTCAGTGTTGTTTTTACTTTCTCTTTTTATGTAGCTGTGAATGTGCTGTAATTATAGTCTCAACTTTTGTATGATGCTCCTTTCTATTTCCTTCCTAAAATTTGCCAAAAATGGATGTTAGTGTCATTAGAAAAGAACTCTGATTATAAAATACACTGGCTGAACTATCTATCCATTTTCTTTGTCTAATATAAGTGATTTTTTTCTTGTTTTTACAGGTCTCTTGTGGCTCAGAACATAATTTGGCAGTAATTGGTAAGTAACTTTTATACTGATAACTGTTTCTTCTGAGAATTATGTGGCAGAATTGAAGACTCTGGTTAACCAAAAGCCACAGTTCATGCATGCATGCATGTGTGTTAGGGGAGACTGGGGGAAATGGAAGTCTTCAGTTGACCAAGGGTTTACTAGAAGCTCCTTTCCTGAATATTTCAATTCATATTATTGAGCATCTTTTTAAGGTATCTGAGCTGGCTTCCCTGCCCGGGAAGTGGCATTTGAGCATATTAAAGAACTTACAGGCTGGGGGTCATCATGTGTAGAAAGCCAGACATGAAAAGGAAGGATGATTGGACTGCTTCTGGTTTTTTGAATAAATCCCCATTCTAAGTTCTTTCCTATTGGTTTGGCTCTTTCTTTGGAAATATGCGGCTCTGCTCATTGCCCTCACTGCCTTGTATTTAGTGGCATTCAGAAACTCTCAGTTGGACTCAAACCTTTGGTTAATAAAGGCTTCCTCTTAGTTGGCCCTGGATAATCACAGTTTAGTGTTTTTATAATTAGATCTATTTCTTCATTCAAAAAGCCTTTTCATTACTTCCACAGGTAGACTCAGTTTCCATCTCACAGTATATTAAAGAGACTACAGTGTAGGGCCAGACTGCCTAAGTTCAGTACAGACTTTTGCTTACTAGCCATGTGAACTTGGACAAGTTATTTGACTTCTCTATGTCCATCTTTAAAATGGGGAGGACAGTAGTGCCTACCTCATAGTGTTGTTGGAGGGATAAATGAGTTAAGATATGTAAAGCACATAGAATGGCACTTAACTCCTAGTAGGGGCTTTGATAATGTTTGCTATTATTACCTGATATTATATGGTCAAGTAATTGCCCTCCTGTGGGCTTTAGTTGCCCCGTCTGTAAAATGGAGAAGTTAAAACAGAAAACCAGGTTTCTCTCCAGCTCTGATATTTTAGGACTCTTGTGTACAACCCCACCACTGACTGACTTGTGTCAATAATTTCTGCTCCTGGTCACTCCTGTCTCCTAGCTTCCAACTTCTACCAGGCAAGGCCCTTGTGTTTTCCTCATTCCTTGCCTATTCACAGCACCTAAAGCAGTGTGTGGCTCTTAACAGAGACTCACACATTCTTTTCTGAATTGAGCTAGACTGGCTCAGCTGCCTGGGGTGGCAGCAATTTGAAGCACTACTTTGCAGGACCAAACATGATGTACAAAGAGGCAGAACCAAGGACAGCAGAGAAGGTGGGGAGTCACTGAGGCTGGAGTTAGTGAAGGAGCTAGAGAATGTAACAGCAAACCTGGATGCTTTGCAGCAGTACCAGATACTTTATACTGGAACTGCTTCAGCCTGGGTTTAATTAAGACAAGCTAATCAAAGAGTCAAAGGCGTTGCCTAGGACATTGCTGCTACTGCTATCACTGGACTGGGAGAGCTTGGGTTCTCATGGAACCATCACAAACAAGAAGATTGCAGGAATCTAAATTTGTGAAAGCACAAAGTCCAGATGAAGGAATGGGTGAAAGCTAGCAAAGCAGCAGGTTGAGCTGACATAGGCAGCCTGGGGCTGTAGGAGGAGGAAAGACTTCAGGCAGACAGCCTTGATTCAGACCGGCTCCATCTCTGTGTGAGTGTCATTTTTCCCCTCATCTTTGTAATGGGGATAATCATTCCACCTTTCAAGATTATTGTGATGAGGTGAGATAATTTATGTGAAATACCTGGCAGATATAAATTCCTTTGGTTTCTCTTTTCTCTTGGTCAGGTAGGGGGAAGGGAGAAATATTTGTTAGTGTAACTGTTCTAGTGAAATATTTCTTTGTTGGGAGAGAAACAATGACATTCTGGAAAGATGGATTCAGTGTTACCTGTGATAGACTATCAGAGGCAGTGGGAGAACAGGGCATGCTGGTGAGCACTTGAGGGCAGATTTGTTATTGTCCATTTTATTCCCAGTGCCTGAGACCTGGCTCATAGACTGCTGAGTGAATGCTTCCTGAGTCAGGAAAGGTGAGTGCAGTCACAGGGCTCTGCACATACGTACCTGCCTGCCAGCTGGGAGCAAGAGGCTCTCCATCACTGGAGGAATGAGGTCCTCAGTGGGTGCCCTGCAGGGTGCAAGCTTTGTGACAGGAAGCTACAAGAAGCTGCCTGTTAGCCCTGGCAGGAGGCCAGCAAGAAGGAGACAAGTTGCAGGTGGAGAAGAGTTTTTACTAGCTTAAAGCCATGTTTCTCCCCGGGGTTGAACTCCTCCCTCAACCCTACTGCCTTGGCCTGCTTTAGGGAGATTTCCCTGCCTTCAATCTCATTCCCTGAACTCTAGCCCTTCAGTACCTGGTGCTATGTCCCACATGTAAAATGCACAAAATATTTATAGAATAGACTAGAAGAGAATATAAAGCAGCCAAACTTTGCCCAAACATAGAAGCAACCTTAATATCTAATGAATGTGTGACAGATGAATCAACTTGGAAATGGAGGTGAAACAGAATGGTGAAAGGACATAATTGAGAACCTACTGTCTTAGGTTAATGGACACAACTCACTGAAGTATATTCGTTGTGTGGGGTTAAATGGGTTAAACAGGTTGCAGAGATAAGTTGCAGTGTTACCTGAACAAGGGGCTAACTATCCAGCACATATAGAAGCGAATGCTGTGAAACTGCCTTTGAGAAAAGAAAAAGCTTTATTGTGAGTCAACTGACAAGGAGATAGGGAGAGAACACTAGATCCATCTCCCCAGACTGGGAGTGGGTCAGGCTTTTATGGCATTTTAAACTAATCCCAGGTGATGCTAGTGCAGCAAGTCAGCCAGGCTGGTGGTAGTAACAATTAGGTTGCTAAAGCTTTACTCCTGAGCATGCTGGGTAAGTTTGGCTCTGCATTACCCATAACTTAATAGTGGTTAATTGGTTTGAGCTGGTTGTACGGTTATAGCAGTAAATAGTAGAGCTGGCAGCCTGACTTCCAAAATGCTCCTTCCACTCTATCATTTCCTATGGCCTGAAGCAATATGGGTAGTATGGGTTGCAGTTAAGAAGAGCTCAGGTATTGGGGTCAGATTGCCTGGAACCAGATTCTGCCTCCTCCACTTATGAGATGTGTAACCTGTATAAGTTTAACTTCTCTGTGTCTTGATCACTTCAACTGGGATATCATATTATTGCCCTCATAGGGTTATTAGGTAAAATGCTAAGAACAATGCCTAACACAAAAGTAAAGACTCAGAAAATGTTATATGCTATTATTATTATTCTATATTAAGACATCAAGGAAGGAAATAATTATAAGATGACTACATGAAAGCCTGAGGCCAGGGTAGGAATCTCAGGAGCTAGAGAAGAAAGTATCTTTCCCAGCCTGGATATCAGGGTCCACGGTAGGATCTCAGCATAGCTGCAGGATGGATTGTAAACTGGAGCCTGGGGTTCCCCTCATTGGGGATTCTGGACATCCAAGCAGCCCTGGAAACAGTGCTAGCCCAGGTTTGTTTAAGGACAGGATTCTGCTATTCATTGTCCCAGACACAAACAAAGGCCCTGCATGTTCCAGCCTGAAGCAAGCCCCATGGAAGCCACAGTTCAGTTTCTTGTGAAGATGGAAATTCTACTCTGGTGCTTCTGGGTTTCTTTGTTCCCCTTCTTTTGAAATTTGGTTTAGTTATTTCCTTACTTTTCCAACTAACTTTCTCTTGACATGTTTTGTCTTTGCTACCAGGTACCCTCATAGCTAGACATGATGGTGAGGTGGTATGAGTTCCGGCTTTAGACTAAGGAAGAACTGCTGGAGCTGAGCATAGAGAGACTCAGTTGACAATCAGAAAAGAGAGAGACAAGGCCATTGACCATAGCTGGCTTGGCTACTCTCAACCTATGTGCCTTGTACAATCACTCTGCCTCACTGAGCCTGATTCCTCATCTGTAAAATCAACATCATGATACTCACTCCCAGGTGTTGTTCTTCCCAATGGCATAGGTATGTCGAGTGCATGCTCAGTACCTGCCATGTCATAGGCGCTCAGCAGGTGCTTGTCTACTTGGCTGCTTCACTAGTTCACTTTCTTCCTTTCCACCCAGGATTTCTTTCCACATCTGACAAAGCTCACTTGCTAGCTCCCATTTGTGGGCATAGGCTGAGGTGAATTGAGGGCATGTGTCCATCACTTGCTGAGAAGATCCCTGCCTTTCAGAGTCGGGGTCCCCAGATCCAGCTCTGTTTTTAGGCCCCTCACCTCTGTGTCTGGGTGAATTGGCCCCAGCTGTTGTGCTTCCACCAGGAGCAGGTTATTTTGGCTTGAATGGGCAATTTGTTTGCTTTCTCCCCTGATGCAGTTGTTTTGTCTTCCATTCCTGCAGAGAAAAAAGAGCTGACTGCGTTTCCTCTCTCCCTGTTCCACACAGACCCTTGGAAGGATTTTATTGGTGGCCTTTTCCTGGAGCACTCAGGCTTGCCAGACAGGCATTGTTAACGGGTTGGTTATTGGCAGGAAAGTGTGATGCCTCCTCCTTCTCCAAGCAGAGCCAGTTCTTTTACTAAATTGGAGCTATAATCTATGCACAGATTTTTTTTTTCATTTCAGATAATTTCCAATTGTTGAACCATTCTACCTTTATAATATGTATGGCAGAACATCTGACCTTGGCATGAAACCCATTAAGCAATTTCATGTAAGATTTTAATAGAAAAATAGAGAAATAACTCTTTTTTTGGCACCGGATATTCTACTGAGCAGTGATATCGCCAAACCCTAGGACCTTGTAGAGAGCTTAGAGGCAGATATAAACTTGTATGTTTCTATGCACAACGTGATAGGCAGAATGTAAAGGCATTAACAACCTCATCCCATTTAATTATCACAGCAAACTGATGGGCTGGTACTCTGGTTAATCCCATTGTCTAGGTAAGGGAAAATGAAGCCAGGGATGGTGAACAATTTACCCCACCCAGGTCACAAGAATAGGAAGAATTTGTGTCAGGTCTTTTACCTACGCCTCTAATTTCAGAGCCTGTGA